ATTATCATAATCGTATAAAACGAGATCAAGCTTTACAGATAATCTGTAATCAGTACAAAGAATTAACAGGACAACCACTAACAACTAAAATTAGACAAAAAAAAATTAATAATTTAAGATCACAATATCTGGACCATCTAAATAAAATAAAACATTCGAAATCAAGCGGTGCATCACTTGATGATATCTATAAACCAACTTGGTGGTTGTTTGAAGATATGAGTTTTCTATAACATAGATCAGAAAATCATCGTAAAGAATCAACTCGATTACAACGCTAACTATATTCAGCCAAGTATAAATATTATTGTTCGAGGACTCGGACCGAGATCTCGGATCGAGTTCTAGCATCGTGGACACAAGGCTTTAGTAAAGCCTGGTCTGAGGATCACTTGGAAGATATATCTGCGAACTCGACAGCGGATTGGCTGGATACTGCGCTTAAAGAGATTTCGGACATCTCTATGCCGCGGAATAGTGGATACACTAGAAATTCGTGTTATTGGTGGTGTGACGAGGTATCCAAGATCTATAGAGAGAAGGTTACCTCAGGCAAACCGGTTGTGGGCGAGGGACGATGAAGTAAGGGGGGAGCTAGAAACAGCTTGTAGGCGAGGGGCGACGAAGGAAGGGGAGAGCATGATGATCTCATCGGCTAACAGTAGCTGTCTCTCTCGCACGCTTTAGTGTTTTCTCTCTCGCTCCTTTAATATAGAAATGTTTTGGCCCGTATTCTGAGCTCACATTTATCGCTAAATGTACCTCTAAATGTTTCATAGATGAAGCGATAAATGTGACGGTATTCTCAGTGCACATTTAGAGGCACTTTTAGAGACGGTCAGCCATTTTTAGATACGATCAGTCTTAAAGAGGCCTTTTTAAGTCAAAATTCTATTCTGAACCACATTTATCGCACATTTATACGTATTCGATAAATGTGCCGCTGAATGTGCACCTAGGCACATTTAGCGGCACTGTTACACGTAATGGCGGCGCCCAGCGTTTGACAGGCACGGGCTGCTTCGCAACTATTGATGATGTCAATTGATATTATGCGATTGATTTTATGAATAAAATTAATATATTTCGCATTTCTATAACTGATAGAGATAATACATATCAATAATAATGATATGTGTCCTATTTAAAAATTTTTTCGATCTTAAAGTGCGGAAGGTACTGAAAGTGCAATAAGTGCAACAAGTTTAATAGAGCCGGTCTTACGTAGCGCGTGAATTGGCACGAATACGAACGTGTCTCTTGACATTTTATTAAATTTTATTATTAATCATGGATGTGTTAGACGAGATCGAACATGTGGCTGACGTTCGAGAAGTAAATGCAATACGTAATCGTGATCCGCGAGTGTTTCGAAATAAAATGGACGCTTTTAAAATTTATAATGATCGCGAGTTTCGACAACGATATAGATTAACGAAAGAATGTGCGCGTTACGTGATTTCCTTGGTAGAAGAAAGGTTATCATCCCTTTCTGGTAGGAGAAATGTTGTTACACCAACTCTCCAAATTCTCATCGCTCTGCGATATTACGCTAAGGGTTGTTATCAAATTGAATTGGGTAAGTTAAATTTTTTTAAGTTTTAATCTTTAATAATTATTATAAATTATTTATTGTATTATGTTAGTGAAAAAAAACTGTTATAAAACTAAAAATTTCTTATTACAGGAGATTTGCATGGTGTATCGCAGCCAACAGTGTCTAAGATCGTCGCTTCAGTATCGCGAGTTTTGGCAAATTTACTGCCACAATTTATAAAATTTCCACCGCGAATAGAAACACTTCAGCAGGAATTTTATAACGTAGCTTGTTTTTCTATGGTTGTGGGTTGTATTGATTGTACTCATGTACCAATAAAATGCCCCAACCAGGAACAAGCTGCGTTATATATAAACCGGAAGGGTTTCTATTCGTTAAACATCCAGGTGGTTTGTGATGCTGAACGACGTATACTGGACATTGTTGCTCGATGGAGAGGCAGTGCCCATGATGCGCGTATAGGGGATTCATGTTCTCTCAAGGACGAATTCGAGGTAATAATTTTGTTAAGTATAATTATATATATTTAGATATAGAGAAGGAGATTGTTTCATCCATAAAATACATTTTAATATTTATGCTGTGATTGATTATATAAAGCTATGATAATTATTTTAAGTTGTT